CTCGTTCACTCGAGAGCCGTTATCGAGAGTGATAGTGTCAGATCGTTCTTCCTGGAGCGATGATGGGTAGCGGATGTTGAGATAGACAAGACAACGTTCTCGATTGTATGTAACCTTGTTCCACTGTCGAATTCTGGCCGCCATCGTTTTTGGCTTCTTCGCGATCGATGAAGTTGGAAGCACTCTTCCATCTTCGCATCCAGGTCTTTCTGTGGTTTCAAAGTAAATAAGTAGCTTGGTGGAATCGTGGACTGAAAGTCGTGATCTCCCCATTCAATCTGCTCATGTTTATCGTCTGAATGGACATGATTTCCCTGAACAGGTATGGGTTGCGCGTCCATCCGAATGCGTTAGAGATCGCCACCTCATATACCATACTGCATTGAGTCCTCACCCACGCAGTGAAGGGTCCCTAGGGTAAAATATATATAGAGACTCGACGTATATATATGGCACAATCCGGCGAGATGGCAAAGATAGGTACGGAGCTGGTTGTATGCCGCATCAAAGATGCGTAGAAGATGGGAAAACAGCCGCCGACAGCCTGAATTCGATCGCACGCAAACGCTGCTCTAGATCAGCAACCTGATCTGAAATGCTGTTCTGCACCTTGTCAAAGAACCGTATGCAAGCCGTAGAGGAGCATACATTCCGCGAATTTCTCAAATGCCGATCATGTGCTTGAGCGATATATCGGAGACGAACATCGATTTGGTACCAATTAGATTGAAGTCGTCGTCGTCCTTACTATCAGGACATGGTCGTTCTTTGTGATCGCCGGACAGTCTCGAAATCAACAATGAAAATCGTCAGAGGTGCTGACTCCTTGATATCCACATATCTCTGCGCTGCTGGAGCTATCGGCCACGCCACCCAGTACTTTGGCACGTATTGGGCTAGCGATTCTCAACTTGTCAATCCAGTCCCTGAAGACCGGACTTGGGGACCAAGCTTGACGCGGCAAGCCAGCAAGCTTAGTATACTTGGACTTTAACGCCTTCTCGACGGGGGCGGGGGCGTCCATAGCAGAAACAGCTGGCGAGGACGACGGCTCTAGAGAGGCTGAGCCCGAAAATTCTCAAGTGTTTGGTCATGAGTCAGAAACCAAGATCAGCTTTCTCTCCTTTCTGTTTGGCTCATTAACCCATTCTCCTGTAACCACTCTTCATCCTGTGGTTGGTGTTGGTAATAAGTCTGGTATAGTCTTCAGCATCATTTGTTTGGGGTTGGCGACGATGACTGCAGATGGTGCAGAAGATTGGCGACAATAACCGAAGCAGGTTCAGAAGATTGGCGACGATGACTGAAGAGCGTGCAGAAGATTGGCAACCACACTGCCTCAAATTTGACATTGGAAAGGACTCAGATGCTGCCGACCACGTTGTCTTGCTTGTGACCGGATTCAGATGGTGTCTTGGTAGGTGCCAGGGATTGGCATCCAAATGGACTGTCTTGTGACTTGTGGCATTTCCATCCGTGCACAAGCCGCCTACGTTGGAAGAGTTTGAGCCGCCACCACCACATCGAGAGCAATATGCCTTGCCCCTGATCTAGAGCATGCCATATTGCTTGTTGTTTCTTCTCTTTAGTCGGCCCATCCCAAGTTCCACACCGGCACACCACACGTATTCTTTCCAATCTGGAGAGTACAATGGTTTTCTGAGGGAGCGACTGAATTTGAACTGCCGAGTCTGCTGGGCATGATCTCGCTGTCTTCAGGAACGATGAGGATGAGAGTGAACTCGATTCCCGAGAGGATCATCATGGGGTTTCTCTGATGAGATCTTTTCCGTGAACTGGCGATGATATCCACGCACAATTATGTCGATTAATGATTCTGAGGCCATAGCATGGTTGACCACTTCCCACACAGGCCAGTTATGTTATCGCACTCCGAGCACTAAGTTTGTCAACTTAAGGTTGATTCATCGGGCCGCTAACGGTGTACTGAAATGTTGTCGGCGTTGATCTTCCTTGCTCTTCCCGTGTTTCTCTTCTTCTGGATTCCTGTATTGGCCTCCTCGTTTGTGTCTGGCTTGTTTTCCTGAGTCTTCCTCTTCCTTTGCAGGGTTACGGGTGTAGGGTTCATCGTCAGCGTCTCCTTTCCTCCGGTCAGGACAGCTTGGATGTGGAGACGTACTGATAGTCGGCACCAACCGCCCGGGGTTGTGCCGCCGCACTGGAGTCGCGGCCGCGACAGTCCCTGGATGGTGGGGCTCCTCCAACTTGACAGTCTTCCAATACAGCCGTGAACATCTTTGTCCCAACTGTACACGGATGTACTCTTCCGCCTGTTGTACGTACAGCGTATCCCTGAACCGGCCCAGGATAACCCGGGGGTCGACAATCTCATCGGGCGCGGACTGGACCAAGGCTAGCATCTGCTCCTTGTCTGCTGGCCCCAACGCCCGGTCCTCCATGGAGTGGGCTAGCATTTTGGCGGTCGCATTGGCGAAAAGCCACTGATCGTAAGTCCCAGGACGCAGACTAACCAGATATACTGGTGTCTCTTCTATCCTAATCGGTGTACCCGCCCAATAATTTGGATGACGGTGTTAATGTTGTCGGGGATCTCTAAGATGAGGATTTGGTGACACGCGCCTTGAATATTCAGGCCGAGTGCAGAACTGCGAGAGTTCACAACCCAAAACTGGACCGGTGGGCAAACAGGATTGAAGATGGCTGGCTTGTTTCAGGGGCAGAGCTGAGGCTGATTTTCACCATCCTGATATTGACGTCGACACTGGTGGGGGCCATTGTTGATTTGAGAGCCAAGTTAACCGCACATGCTGCTTGTCCAGCAGTCCTATGGCGAAAGGTGAGACCATACCACTTCAAGTTTGACATTGGGAAGTATTTCAACTGATCTATGGGGAAGAGCCCCAATGGATGCAGTGAAGCATCAATTGCGATTGCATTTGTCTCTATCGGCGGGATTGAAGGTGTTGCAGATTCTTGTGAGCCAGTTCCGTGCCTGCTCGGCAGCCATTGCCTGGGTGGCCAGAAATATGTGATAGGGTCGCTATGTTCGGCATGTCTAGGACCACGATCTCGTGGCAGGCACTCTGGAGGTTGATTGATCGGCTGTTCAGGATCAGGCATCATTTGTTCCCGGTCCTTTTGTTGTCTGAATCTATCTTTGATGGTAGCCTCTCCCAAGATCTGAGCTAAACCTTCCCATCTGCGCATTCCCCGAACATGTCGTGAGAGGAATTTGCTTGGTGTATGGCCTTAATGGCATCGAAAATCAGGTTGAAGATGTAGCGATGCATTTGCAGAAATCCGCATGTCGTACGTTTCGTGGTAGATGTCTTCGTGATGTTAGTCACTGGTGCTCGATTCCTGCAGCTACACCGGGAATATCCTCGTGATGATGCATACACGAAGTACACCCGTGAGTGGCTGAGTGGTATCTTTGACAATGCTACCGACAAAGCTGAGTTCAAGGGCAAGCTCCGGCGCTCCGACTTTCCATTAACTCCCGTGAAGGGTGGTGCACTGAAGTCCTATCATGGCACCATCGACGACATACCAAGCCGTGCCCTTCGTCCATGTTCGCCAGGCCTCCGCCATCCTTTGGAGAAGACTGCATGGGCAGCAATGGCGAGGCCAAGGTTGCAAGACGAACAGATGAAGAGAAGAAAGGGTGGACAATGGTTGCTGGATGATGAGTGTGTAGAGGAAGAGGTACCAGAAAACGCTTTCTGGAGAGCTAGGCTGGTGTCCTGTCCGATGAAGATAATATGGAATTCTCGATACCGTTTAGAGAGACCGTTGCGTTTCCTGTGTCCAGAGCATTGTGCATCGGAAGAGGATGTTTGGCCATGAACAAGGAAGTCCACCATGTCTTTACCGGCCAGGCCAGTCGGGGTCCAGATTGTCGGACAAGGGTAACTTGTCGTTCTTCTGGCTGGAACAGTATCCTTGGGTAATGTAGTATATATATCGTGTGCTATCTCTGTTTGAATTGACCGTCGAAGAGTTGGACTTGGATCACACATCCTTTCTGTAGCTTATTCTGAGGCACTGGCTTGGCGATGGAATTACTCAGAGCCTCCTGTTCTCGTTTATCGTCTTCGGGATGATGAGAGATGACAATTCGAAGGACTGGGGTACCTTGAAACTGTCATTGTCGGCTATTGGTACATCTTAAGCCTGTGCGTAGGCCCAGCTGGTAGTCAAACGAGCACCATAACTGACCAAAATCAGTCTGACTTCGATACCGTCTGCCGATCCGGCGAGTCCTTGGCCTTGTCGTATTTCGGTGGTATGATCGCTAGCTTTTGGTGCTATCATGGCTGGCTTGATTAACATAGGTTTCGGGGAACTGCGCTCTTAGAGCGTCGCCTTGGATGATGCCCATGGAGCCGGAGAGCGTTTCTTCGGGAAGGCCATCGGGCAGGGAAGGACTGGTGGTCTCGATGTCGAAAGACTTCTAAGCTTGGCGACCGAGATACTCACCACCTGACTGTGGGGGTCGCAGCGCAGAGGAGACATAATCCCGGGCTTGATCGTGATGGGATCGTGGTGAAAGAGACACCTATCGCATCTCTAAATCATAATTAGTCCTCATTTCACAACCTTGGTGGAGGAACCGGCCCTTACAGGTTGTCTCATTGTGGAGTTGTTGGATAGAAGTTGGGAAAGAGTGATTGTCTCGTCTCTCTCCACACTGCCTCAAATTTGACATTGGAAAGGCCTTAGATGCTGCCAACCCAGACTGAGTCGTTTGGATACTCTAGAAGGGGTTCGTGTTTGAATGGTTCTAGAGGGGGTTCAAGTTGCTCGAAGCTGGCTCCTTGTTCCTTGCTCATCCATGGGTTGAAATACCTCGTGTTGCTCTAAAGGCGTCAGTCATGATGAAAACTGATGAGTGCGATTTGGCTCTCTGGTCATCTCGTCCTGGGTTCGTGGCTGCCACATGCAGCAAGGGGATGTGTTTCTCACTCAGCACATTCCAAGCCAAGATATTATCCTCGAGAGGAAGCCAGCGTCAGCGTTCATCTTGTCGCTGTTCGTGTGCCCTGTCCATTTCCCCTGTTGCCGCCTTTGCTGTCTTTGACACTGTTGCCCGCTTCATCTGCGCCGTCACTCATGCCATCGAGGTCCTCTTCACGCGGAACCATAGCCGGAGGAGCGGGCTCAATGAAAATCCGGAGCAGCGAGCTGCATGACTTGGGGAGCCATAACGACTTCTTCCCGAACGCCGTGACTTCGGGTGACAAGGTGACGAAGACCGACTTTCTCAACGGTTGCATAAGGTTATTGAATGCCTCGATCGCGTTGTCGGCCTGGGCCTGCATCTGATTTCGCTTGTCTTCTGGTTCCGTTCCATCAAGTTCAGCCAATTCTTTACTGGCCTTCTTAGACGCTCTGATCTTCGCCTGTAGTCCATCTCGGCCATAGATGTATTCCAGCTCCCACCATTTAGTCTCTGTACCGGTCTCATATTTACGCAACCCCTGGTAGACTTCAAGATCCGGTCTGTCATCCTTCAAATACTTGGAGTCCCAATGATGGTGTCGCATCAACCCTATGGCATTAGCCAACGGCTCGAAGTACGACGCCCATGTGGCCAGGCACAATGGCCGGGCATACTTCGGCTTGGTGTTCATGGACGAGTGGCATCTCCGAACCGGTCCGGACACAAACCGATGGAAGGTGGCGATTGTATCAACCTTCCATCCGTGGCTAAAACCCCAATCATCCACAGATCATAGATACTTGGCCCAAGCAAGAGAGAGTGGTCCGCGTCTCTGGGCTGGTCTCGACGTCGACGTCTCCTGGGCGTGACCATAGGGGTAAGGTTTATAAATATATTTTGGCGCCGCAACCTTCTCGGAACCCATCATTCGATCCTTCTCGTGGATGAGCGTCCGGCCGGATCACACAGACCTGTGCCAGAAAGTTTCGTAAGGCCACAGTCCAGGTAGATGGGAATGTGATAGGTAGAAGACTTGTGTTGTGAGAAAACCAAGCCGTCATTATTCATGTGTCCTTGAAGAGATGGTCAGAGACAACGTGCTGTTCTCGCTGCGACTGGCTTATTTGTGTTCGGATCCTGGGAAGAGGAAGAAGAATACTTGTTTGACCGCTGTATTCCCAAGGTAGCCCACACACAGGCCGTGGTGTCTTTCGCCCTTGGAAAACACGCATTCGGATCATACTGGTTGTAGACATGCAAGTCGGGCTGGAAGTCGATGATAGTCCGGGGTTCGAGAGGTAATATCCGGCCACGCCAGCCCGTAGCGCTTCGAGGAGTTGACTGAGAAGTGTCATTCAAATGAACGCGAATGAAAGTGACTGCGTAAGTGCTAAGTACTTAGCGGTTTCAACAACATCCTCGTCGATCAATTTGCATACCACTGCACGGCGAAGGATTGGCGGCAACAAGAACGTGGCTGCACGCCACGGGAGTTGATCAGCATGCCGTTTATGTACGAGGGCCTGTGACTCCCGATCTGGTGGTACTGGATACTGCCTAAAACATAGGCAGGATCTATCCGTACACCAGGCAGAGCAAGGAGTCGGCGGCTTTGGGGGCTGTGAGCGTAGGAAGCCAATTGTTGGCCGGGTACCCACAATCGTCCGATTGCGGGATTGCCCCCGACCAAGGTGCTTTCTCTTTGTGGTCGCTTGTGACTGGTTGGGATCAGCAAATATCTCCATTTGAGATGCTCAAGTATTCGCTTGACATGTGCATCAATATCGTGTCTGGATTTGTACTCCTTTCTGAGTTTCGACCCTGGTCCGATTGAACGCCCCAACAATGCACTTGTCGAACCCTGAAGCCTGTCAGTGACTGTAGGTGGATTTAACAAGCCATCATACGAGTTTGAATCGCCTCGTTGAAGACAACTCGGCTTTGGCTTTCAAATCAATGAACCACGGTACGATGGTCTGTGGTTCCCCACCTGCGAGACCCGGATGCTCCCTAACACGCTCGGCGACCGACACTCTCTCACTCTGGGCAATGTTGAACGAAGGGTCGTCCTCGTCCAAAAACGCGTCGTGTATGATTGAGCATATCTCAGGCTTCATGTGGTACTCCAGGAATTGGCGAATGGTTTCTTTCGACAGGGGGGGACGAAAACATGTAGTGGACATCCACACCCGGCAAGGCGAGGAGCCTGCGACTCTGAGGGCTGCGCCGTACGCGGCTAGTCGGTGCCCAGGCGTTGATGACGGCCTGTGTACGAGGGGATCCCAGCGAACCATCTGCATGTTGTTCGGATTCCTAAGAGCACTCTTCCGAGTACTCTTCTCAGTGCTCTTGCCGTACGGTATAGGGTGGAGAGGACGGGGCGGGCGTGAACTTACATCGTGACCCTGGAAACTATCAACCTGACAGCCATCTGCAACAACGGACGTACGAGACTTACCTGATGGGAGATTGACATTCTATCACATTGTCAGCCTGATGTCAGCAATCAATCAAGGACCAAGCAGTACGTACGGTTGTTGTGGTCGTAGTGTTGTGGTGGTGGCTGATTGAGGCGAGTTGAGAAAATTAGGGGCTAAAATGAAGCGAGTGCTTGTGGGAGGGCCACAGTCCCAACCACTCGGGCAAGGAGACGGCCAATTCCAAGTAGCATATGTGAAATGTGTCGATCGTCTACCATTACCAGATGGATTATATAGATGGAAGGTGGATGTTTGTGCTTGATGGTGTATAGTCATAGTCGACCAGTTTGCTGTTTGGCGTGTCTGCGCTTGACTGTGTATAGTCAACAATCACACTCACAACCAGACTGCTGTTTGTTGGGTAGCTTACTGTTGAGTAGATGACTGGTTGAGGTGAGGTGTGTGAAGAGTGGCGGGAGAAATCGTAGTTCTCTTGCCTCTGCTGACACTGTGAAAGTCAACAACCACAATCACAACCGGAGGACTGCTTGTTGATTGCTCTCCAACTGGATGCTTGTGCATCCACTCAGACCTCTCCTCCATTCTTCCGATGGTTGCCGACCTTCCATGAAGGGAAAGGGGAAGGCTGCATGGTCTTGTCATCCGGAACCTGTTCGAGGCGATCCCTTGCCAGCGCTGGTTCAATTGCGTCCAAGGACCGCGGTGATAGCTTGGTCTGATTGTGGATGTATGAAGAGGTTGACAGAAGAGTCAGATCAGATACTGAAAGACTATCCTACCGCTCCAAAACCAGATGATGGTTCATCTCCGGGTTCCGGTAATTCGAGATGGTGGGAGAGGTCAGTATGCCAGATCCTATTCATCACTGAGAATACCTCCCTTATAGCGAGTCTGGAAGAGCTGAAGAAGCTTACCGACTGCAGCGAGTTGCCAGTCCTTCAGCTTCGTCAGATGAATCTTCGGTTGCTGAATGGTCTCCGCCTCCAATAGTTCAACCTATTCACTATGTTAGTATAGGATTTCCTGTACGAAGGGTCCCTTGTGATTGAGTTACCTCAATCTCAATGATAACCATAGTTAGCGTACAGAGTATTGTAGACATACGTTCAGACATATTCACGAGATCCGTACTCGACGCTGTTCTCGGCCCAGTTAGCAGCCTGGTTTCCGCATCCAACATCTCCATCAGGGACGTCGCTGCCGACGTCGCCGAGGCCACAGTCTGTCCTGTCTCGAGCCAGTTCACGCACAATCCGTTTGGGCGCCAATGAGGGACCTCAGTGGTAAGAGGAATCAGCTGATCGGCCGAGTCTTCCAGGGTCGCGGGTCTTTTCGACAGGGCTCAGGGGTAAAAGCTTCAAATATTAGTGATTTGATAGTCCCCAAGTCTCGCTGGTGTTTGTGATCAACCTGTGTGCCATCAGGTAGGTGCCGGTACCGAGGAATCTGTCATGCCCACGTCGTAATCGTCGGTCGGACTAAGGATACCTTCTGTCCGGATCGTGTTTAGTGGTTGATGTCAAGTATGCGCTTTCTCAATGCAAGACAAGCACTTTCCGCCTTCCATGTCACACATCAGGGCACCTGGATTGGGTTAGCAGTAGAAGAGCATGCCACACGCATACCACAAACCATCTTCTCCAAAGAGGATGGCGAGAGATAGGTAGCCCAACGTAGAGTTATCCTCATGGTCATTGAAGCGGTGCAGAATCTCGGCCTTTTCCGCGTCGGTGGGAGATGGCCATAGAGAGGCATTGCCTGGGCCGGTCTCTGAGCGTTTGCTTCAAAGATGTCCAGCCTGCAGAAAGCACGATGTTAGCAAGACCCACGCAACCGAACGCTCACTTACTATTCGTCGAATTTCAATACTAAGTTGTTCAAATGACACACCTCCACATCGAAAGGTTAGTTGTTTTAGGAGCGGCAACTTGTTCAGGACTGGCGACGGGACGAGACGACGACGGGATCTCAGGACTCGGCGCTCGAGCCGCAAGCGCTTGAAGAGCGAAAAACTTGAGTCCGAGGTTATGCAGAAACGCCCCAGTCACCCATTGGGTGGTCGGCCATCCAACGTAGATAATAACCCTAGTTTGCCCTTGAACCTACCATCTTCATTACCATGAAGAGCACAAAAGATTCTGTAGCACATGTAGATCTCGCGTGAATTCTGGAACTTCGTCAAGGGATTTGCGGAAAGACGCATCGAAGGACAGAGGCCCTCCACGACGGGCACTTTATCGAGTGACAGAACGCTTCTATGTTGTTGCCGCAATTGCCGCCATTGCCACGGCCCGTTTCGAGCAACTCGACTCTGCCTTCCATGTGTCCTGTGAAGGCGCTATTGAGGTGGACAGTCATAAATTAAATCGGATCGTTCGCCATGATCATACGCCCGAACTGAGGTACGACGCCATCTGACTCCTCGAACGTCTCGATGGTGAATTGGACGTCTTCCTCCAACTGCACCAGGCTGATATCGGTGAATGATATCTCCACCAGGGGCTTGCCGATGATGCGGTGGAGATACAGTTCTGTTGACCGGTCCGAGATCTCGTATCTGTGTCATTGGCCAACTCTCGCCGTTCAAATGATGTCTGGATCCCCTGGGGACCCCATCTTTGTAGATTCCAAGGTCATCATCGACACAGTTTCATATCTGTAGGCCATAAGTCGCAATCAGCAGGAGGCCCTGGCTTGTCAGGGTATCTCTCGTGGAATTCCTGTACAAGCATGTCGCAGCCAGGCAGCACACCCCACCAAACCTGCCATGTCGCAGGGTGTCCGTCCTACAGTACCATGTATCTGAGGGTATTACCACCCGGCTGTTTAGAGTCTAAGATCCCCAGTACGACCTATTCTTCTTGCGCGGTCCCGTTTCTCACCACTATCTCCGGCGGAGGAGGCGGCGAGTTATCCCTTGACTGCGGAGCATCGTCGTTTTTGATGGATTCGGTCGGTATGTCGGCCTCGGGTTTGCAAGATGCCGACTCCTCTTTGCTCTGTGACAAGCTCTGACTCGGTTGGGCTGACATTTGTAGTTGATTGACGAGAGGCGAGGATTCAAGAGTCGAATTTGGCGATAGCTGACAACGCCAATACCGGAGACCAGGATTGACGAATGTAGGGAATCTTGCTTAGCAAGAGGAAGTGACAAGAGAGAGTCTGTCAGTCAATATCTTAAGTTGATCTGGATCACAGAGAGAGAGAGGCGAGGATTCAAGCGTCGAATTTAATGTCTGTTCGTGCCATT